AATGGAGGAGAAGGGATTGTGGCATAGCCATCCACCCTGATGGGTGATTTCTCACTTTCCCTCTCACTGTGTATCTCTCTCTCTCTCTCAGGTGAACTCACATGCCGTAAGGCAAAAACTCTAAAATAATAATGATGATGATGATAAATAAAATAAAATTAAAAATTGTTTCTTAAAATTTTTAAAAAGAATACTGATAGGAATCAAAAGTTCATATAAACAGTAATAAGAGAAATATATACATGTTGAAATATTCACTTTGCAAGATAAGTGACAGATGTGATTGAATGTATAAAAGAAATTGAAATAAAAATATATAATAAAAAACTACGTACCAAACCAAAAACAGTAAATAAAATAAAGAGTAGGAGGAAAAGAAACAAAATTAAAAATAAAAGCAACTCAATTCTCTTTTAAAAATTAAAAAATAAACCTTATGCTAAGAAGAAAAATCTACTGACTTCATTTTCCAAAATTTTTAAATGAGTTTTTTTCCACTGCTTTTTATAAGGTATCTATAAAGTATACATGTTTATTTATTTGTGATCTGTCTTTCTGACATGATTCTAAGTTTCTTTAGGTAGTAACCCTATCTCATTCTATATATTTGCATTTCCTGGCATGTAGCACATTTTCAAGAAATGTTCAGTGACAGACTGCATTAATGAGAGACAGAATACATCCAGAAATGAATGAAATCTTCCTTACAGGCAATGGCATGCACACACACTCAAATATTCCTAATCATTACTCACCTTATCTATAGCATAATATGAAATCTGGAAGGCACAGCTAATACTGGTTCATCTGGGTAATTAATTTGGAATGAGGAGGTGCTGTGACAAGGAGAAACACAAGTTAATGTCACCTGGATACTCATGTGGGTGAGAGGTCATTGGTGGTAGTTGTTCTTCAAATAGAAATAGGGACAGAAATGGAATTGGAAATCCTGTTTTCTGTCTAATTCTTAACTCCAGAGAGAGTGTAACAATGCCTCTGAACTATGGTATTATGGCTGTAGTACTCACATACCTGAAATTAGTACTCACTGAGCTCTGGATCCTTCTCACTTCTCTGACAATGGGCACCCAACTACAGAAAGATCTGTCTCGCATCTTGGGAAGTACCCTTATCCAGTGCATATCACCAAGAAAGGATCACAAAAAATTGAGAAGAGAGCACCAATGGTGAAAGTGCTAAGATTAAGGGACAGAGAGCATCTGGTAGCTGAAATGGCATAGCTAGTTGGAGCAACATAGATCCTTTTGGTTTCTTGAAACTCTCAGCATCTGAACTGATCCTCTCATGAAGAGGCCAGTGGCAAGGTTTCTGAGGCTGAAGTTAGTGGAGAAGAAAGAAGAATGTTCTCTCCCAAACAGACTGTGGGTTGTGAAAATAAAAATTTGGACTTCAGGTTTTGGAGGATCTTATTCCCTTCAGGATCTTCCTTCTTGATCACTTCAGCATATTTTTCCTTATTTGGAGGTCTGGAATAAGATCATTTTAGAGATGGAGAACCAAAAATAAGGAGATCTCACCGAAGTATAGCAGAGATCCAGAGATTTAAGCTGCACAACTGGAGTTAGGCATTGGTTCCAAGTGATTCTTAAACCATCTCTCTTGACAGCTAGACACAAACCAGGCTTTATTATACATTCCATTCCAAATTGTTGTGTTACTGTTCACAAACCAAATTGAACTGAATCTTTTTCTATGAGGAATTCTTAACAGTTTGAGGTTCCGAGAAGTGATACAAACAAGATAATCCCCAGGGTTCTCACTCTATTATATTTTCACACAATGAGATACCTTGGGACATTTTTTTGGTAATCATGGATAGAATTCTGTGAATCTGTTCTAATTTCTAATTCATTCCTAAACAAACAAACAAATGATCAAAAGTATGTTCTGACCCTCACAAGGACCCAAGATATCATCCATACCTGTTTCTTCTCTCTGCAGAATCAAGGCATACAGTGCACCCAGGCAGTCATCTTTGTAGCCTTTATTCTAAATCTTTTTAAAAAATGAAAATTTGCACTTGCTCAGTATACCTTATTAAAGTGGGCTTGAAATTGCTCATTTCAAGATGTTGTGGCCATCATCGAAAAATCTAAGCTGGTCTTAAAAACAATCAGGTCTGGGGCCAGCGGGTGGTGTGGGGAACATGGCACTGGATCCCACATGGCCAACATCATGGGATGAGCCCCAGACCCTTGAAAAACATTCCAAATGCATATATGTGTGTGACCAAAATCCTGAGAGGAGAATAGAAGTGAAGAGATTGTGGTGTGGCTATTCCCTTCAGGGTGATTTCTCACTCCCCCTACCTCACACCCCATCTCTCTCTGGAAAGTACATGTACCTTATAGCAAAACAAACAAAAAAAAAAGAAGAAAGAAAGAAAGAAAGAAAGAAAGAAAGAAAGAAAGAAAGAAAGAAAAAAAAGGAAGAGAAAAATAAAGAAAGAGAAGGAAGAAAGAGAAAAAAGAAAATCAGGTCTGAGGAGCTGAGAAGTTTTCTGTAAAAATCAAGTACTTGAATCAGATTCTAAATATAAGGACAAAATTGTATTTTTCTGGGAGATTCTGTATTGAAACTACTTAATGTTGTATTTTCTCTCAATGCTTTTTATGTAAAAAAAAAAAAAAAGAAACTATGGTCCTTTATCAAAATTGTTACTAAATTTTTCCCACCCACTTTTTCTCTTACTAGTGATAATAATATATTTTATTGCTCATTAGAAAGTTAATAATTTTAACAGTCCAATCCTTCCATATTTCTGCGGTGATTTTTAAATCAAACCCAAATTATACTCTCCACATAACAGATATTTGACAAAAATTTAATTTTCTTTTTCAATCACTTTTTTGTTTGTTTTTTCAGTAAAAATTGATATTTAATTTAATTTAAAATGGCTAATTAGGATCTTTTGCTTACAAGATGAATAGGGAATGGGACGTTTTACCTAAGTTCACTTTACTATATTTTTTGCTTTTTATTTATTAAAATCAGTATTCTATAGATATATTTTCAATTGGTTACTATATTATAAAGAAGATTGTCATTTTACTTTTCCATTTAATATACTCAAAAGCATTATAGTTCCAATTACTCAACTCTAACTATTTTCAGACATTGAAGAGGAATTTATAAGATCTGATAACCTGTCTATGGAACAGGATGGGAAAAAAATCAGGAAAGACTGAGATTTGAAAGATTGTGTATATACTTATAACACCTGTCTTGATAAATGATATGGGGAGTATGAATGACTAGCTTTTATTACCATTCTCATATTATAGAACAACAAATTGAAGGTCATAGAGATTAAATGGCTTGTTTCAGATCAAATAGAATAGAGGCCAGCAGACGATATGGTAGTTAAGGTGCTGGACTCCCACATGGCTGACCATGGTTCGAGTCCCAGACCTGGCAGCTTGCTTTCTCATCTCTCTCTCTCTCTCTTTCTTGGCAAATTTTTTTTAAAAAGTAATAATAATAATAAAGATCAAACAGAATAAAGCTAAAGTTACTCTGAATATTGTCTAGTCCTAAGACTCCTCTCTTGCCTCCACTTGTACCACTTTCCAACATGTTACAACAGTGAATTTTTATAATTTTATGTATCCTCAGCATGCAGTTTGAATACAAATTTAACTTCCTCATATCAGAAGCAGAGCTTAGTCATCCTTGACAATTTCCTGCTCTACGCCACACCCAAATGGCTCAAGTCAGTCAGTGAGTTGAGAATTTATAGGCATTTCTCTCATCTTACTGCTGGGCTTTCTGCTTTCCTGTTTCCTTTCATTGTACCCAACAGTCTCAAATAGTTTATTACATGCCTAAATAAACCACTTAAAATATTTGAAAAAAAATAAAGATGATTCAGGCACTTGTTTATGAACTGAAAATAACCCACATACTATTCCCTTATATATACTGCTAGTGCCTGCTCTCTCTGCTTGACTCTTCATTCCTCCCTCACATTTTCCAAGAGAGAGATATGCCCTAGGCCATCCTTCCCAGAATCTATAAATAAAAGGTTTTGAATTTATTTCCTACTGTGGTGCTGTGTTGAATTTGAGCCTTTCATATAGGAACCAGGGATTGCCACAGGCTGGGTTGGGCTCTTAGTGCCAGAACTATGGTCAGAAAGGAGTAAACTGGCCAGGTCAGACAAGAGTCACTAGGGCATCTGCCAGAATAAACAAGTTTCCCATGAGAAGAACTCTCTGGTCTCAAGTTGGACAATGAGACATTACACTCTCTTGGCAGGCAAAAGACATATCCCACTGTAAACACCCACATCCAGTTCCCATTCATCTCTGGTTAGGGCAGGGTGGCTAGTTGCTATAGTACTAGAACCCCAGGATAGCTAGGAGCTCTCGGAATAGTTATGCTGACTCATTGTTTAATTTGCAACTCCTTACTGATTAGGATGTTGAGCATCTTTTCATAATAATAATATTTTTAAGAATTATTTTATTTAACTTTATTTATTTTAACATGCTTACTTGATATCTATCTGTCTTCTTTAATAAGGTACTTGTTTATTTCTTTTCTCCATTTTTACATCAGTTTGTGCATCTTCTTATTACTGAGTTTTAAGAGCTGTTTGTATATTTTGGACAACAGTCTTTTGTGAGTCTTATATACTATCAGCCACACCAGGAGGGCAACTAACAGTCTTTTATGAGAGTGGTCTTTTGCAAATATTTCTGTCTGTGGCTCAATAAAAATCACAGAATGACACTGTGAAGCTATAGTTACAACACCAGTTAGGTGCGATAATTTGCAGTGCTGAGGCAATTTCCTGCAGGATGATACATTAATGTCCAGTATATGGTTCTGTTTCTACCTTTACCAGTGTTTATTATCCAGGAACCAAAGGGTGAAACTAGTAGTGACTCCATGTTTTTAAATTGCTCTTACTGATCCATTTGCAAATTTTTTGCTTTCCATCTATGGTTATTTTAAGTATCAACTTCAGTAGGTTAAGGAACATCTAGATAGCTGGTAAAACATTATTTCTGGATGTTTCTGTGAGGGAATTTCTAAAGAAGATTGCTCTGGAAATCAATAGACTGAGTGGGAAAGACATTCTTTCCATGGAACAGGCACCATCTAGTTGGCTGGAGGCTCAGAGACAACAAAAGGTAGAGAAAAGTTCTTTTTTCTCTCTCCTGGAGTTGAGATGGACTTCTTCTGCCCTTGGATATGGGAACTGCAGGTTTTCTGGCCTTTGGACTCTAGGACTTATACCAGTGCCCACTTCCCTGTCCCCTATCTCACTTCTCAGGACTTTAACCTCAAACTGAGAGTTACACCATTGACTTCTTTGATTCTGAGAACTTTGAACTTGGACTAGACCACACTACCAGCCTCCCTGGTTCTCCAGCTTGCAAACAGCTGATTGTGAGACTTCTTACCCTCTATAATAATGCAAGCCAATCCCCTTAATAAATTCCCACTCATCTATCTCTCTCTATATATTATCGGCTCTGTCTCTGGGAAACCCTAACTAGTAGAATGCTTCTATTAGAAGACATAGCAATAATTATGTTGAACTGAAAGTTGGTACTGAAACCTGGCCACTCTGAGCTCCTCATGTCTTTGAATCAACAGCTGATTGATTCTGATTCCCAAGGAGACATGAAGTTTATACTAAGCAATGGAGGTAAGGAAGAGTATGCTGAGATACTACCATATCAGTCATTCAGGTTAATAGAAAACTACAATAGCTTAGTGTGTTTGGACTGCTTTAACAAAATACCATAAACTGAATAACTTATAAGCAACAGAAATTTATTTCTCTCAGTTCTGAAAGCTAAGAAATCCTAGAGTAAGTTACCCACAGATTTGGTCCCTGGTGAATATCTGCTTTCTGATTGATAGACTGTGCCTTCTTGGTGTGTCTTCATATAGTCAAAGGATTAGTTAGCTCTCCGGGGTTCCTTTACAAAGGTATCAGTCTCAATTGTGAAGTCTCTACCCTTATGACCTACTTAATCTCTCAGAGGCCTTACCTCCTAATACCATCACTTTGGAAGTTAGGATTTCAATATGTGAATCTGGGGAAGACATGAGAATGCAGTATCTGCCCCTAAGCTTCACAGATCCATGCTCTTCTCCCATGCAAGGTCATACCCTGGTATCCATGGGATATTGGTCTCAGGACCTCCCCATAGATATTGGAATCTGTGGATGCTCATGTTCCTGACATATATGTCCTGGTATTTGCATATAATCTATGCATATCTTCCCATATACTTTAAATAATCTCTGGATTACTACAATATCAATACAATGTAAATGCTATGTGAATACTTACACTATATTTTTATTTGTACTATTTTTATTGTATTGTCTTTATTTTTTTAAAATATTTTTGATCCACAGTGGTTGAATTCACAGGTATGAAATGCACACATATGGAAAGCCGAGTGGATATTCTTCTAAATAGTCCTAAAAGTCTTAACTCATTCCAGCATCAATTCAAAAGCTTGAAGTCCAAAGTCTTATCTAAACACAGTCTAAATCAGATAGACGTGAAATTCAAGGTATGATTCTGGGGCAAATTGCTCTCCATCTGTAAACTTGGTAAATCAAAATAAATGCCTCTCTTGATTTTGAATAAAAGAACATAGTTCTAACTGGATACAATAATAAATTCATAATAAAATTATAAAATCTTATGATGTACCACTATTTTTTAAGTAGTCAAGTGATTTTATTTCAGGATTCTGTTCAGATAATTCTGTTTAGATTTAATATTGATATGACATCATAACTGTTTAAAAGTAAGAGGCCATTCTGTCATATCTTTATTGATAATCAAGCTTGATCAAGGAGTCACTTGCACACAAAGTTTCCTACTATAACCAGCATACAATTGTAATTAAGAAATTGTACAAGGTTGGGGGCCAGCAGGTGGCATAATGGTTACGTCAATAGATTCCCACATAGTCAACCGCCGTTTGATTCCTGGAATTGGAATGTGTGTGTGTGTGTGCATGCCCAAGATATGGATTCCCACATAGTCAACCACCGTTTGATTCCTGGAATTGGTAGCTTAAGACTCATGCTGGGTGTGTGTGTGTGTGTGTGTGTGTGTGTGTGTGTGTGTGTGTGCATGCGCAAGGTGAGAGAGATTTCTCACTTTCTGTCACTCTGTCTCTCTCTGTCTCTCTGATGAGTGCATGCCCTCCATAGCAAAATTATCCCAAAAAAATAAAAAAGAGAGAAGAAAGAAAGAAAGAAGAAAGAAAGAAAGAAGAAAGAAAGAAAGAAGAAAGAAAGAAAGAAGAAAGAAAGAAAGAAGAAAGAAAGAAAGAAGAAAGAAAGAAAGAAGAAAGAAAGAAAGAAGAAAGAAAGAAAGAAGAAAGAAAGAAAGAAGAAAGAAAGAAAGAAGAAAGAAAGAAAGAAAAAAGAAAGACAGAAATTTTACAGGGTTATATATACTATACTGTGCCATATCTTTATTTTTCTTTTTTCTGGTTCAACTTTTTTTCTTTTACATTCAATCACCATACATCTTTACAGTATACAAAATGAATTTTCTCAGCATGATTATACTGTATATTAGTCCAGTCAAAGATATTACCATAAGCATTATCATCAACAGATAATTTTCCATATCTTTGTCCCTTAAATGTTTTGCTTTTCTCCCCCTTTTGATTCCATCACCTTCCCCTGTATAATGTATCACTTTCAATCTTTAATTTTAAAAACTTGGGTTGTGGACAAAATTAGCAGTTCTTTATATTATTATTATTTATACATTCAATCACTATATATCATTTAGATTGTAAAGATATTTTACCCAACATGATATACACTACACACCAGGTCAGTTGAGAAAATTATATACGACATCATTGACATCATTAACAGGCAGCAAACCATATCTGTGCACACCAGGTCAGTTGAGAAAACTATATACGACATCATTAACAGGCAGCAAACCATATCTGTGTCCCGCAAATGTCTTACTTCATTTTTTTCCCAAATTTCCCTTCCTGCACTCTTCTCAAAATCAACAGTTCTATATTTTCTATTTTTCATATATTTAAACATTTTAAAAGAAAATGTTTTAAATATTAGCATAAAGGAAAAGTAAAAAGCAAAGCCATATCAATAAAAGGAGGAAGAAGAAATCTCACTTTCAGAGTCAATAAGCTATCTCACTTACAAATCTAATCTATCAAGTGAAACAGAAGATAAGTAAAGACACAGAGGAAACATTTTTCATGTCCAAATCAAACATCATCTAAGCAAAACTTCTTGGCCCCTGGTCAACACCAATACTTACTTTACCTGAAGTGGAATGAATTCTAGCAAATAGCTACTAGTTTCCCTTCAATCTGATCTGCAGTTATCTCATCCAAAAGATTATTTATAAAATTTCCGATAAATTAAGGGAATTAAAGTATTAAATCATACACAACACACACACACATATAGATATATATAAAAGTTATTTATATATACATGATAGTATTCTCTCATTTTATTAACTTTTAAAAATAATTAAAATGAGATATCATTAAAGTCAATCAATTATGAAAGAGTCAGTACCTTAACTCTCTTGGAGTCAATGAACAAGTCATACATACGACATTGAGAAAGCATTGCAGGAACATGGGCAGTGTCACAATGGTAATGCAACACTCTGTGGTGAAGGACTCATGTGGGAGGGTCCCATGTTCATCCCCAAGGCCTCCCATATACACAGCACACACCTGCCTTTGCTCCAGGTTGACTGGGGCTAAGGGTGAATTGTGGAATGAAGATCCTCTTGATTGTATCTGTCTCTCTCCCTTAATCTAGCTCATGAAAGAAATAAGTAAATAATTTTTTTCTTTTTTATTTAAAGAGACATTACAAAGAGAACAAAATCTCTTTTTGTTTATCTCTCTTAGTATTTTTTTTTTTTGAGAAATTTTTGCTATGGGGTGCATGTGCTTCCAGAGAGAGAGAGACAGAAAGTGAGAAATCAGCCCCGGTGGGGAAGGTCAAACCACATACTTTCTCCTCCATTCTCCTCTAAGGATCTTGGGCACACATGCACATGAGCCCAGTGTGAGTTTTAAGCCACCAGGTCTCAGACTCAAACTGTAGTCAACTACATAGGAGTCCAGTGATATAATCATTATGTCATCTGCTGATCTCTCTCTTAGTATTTTTTAAAAAAACAAGTCAAAATGAAATAGCCTTACCAACAGAACTTTGAAAAACAGATAATAACTATTTCTTAATAAAAATTATTTAATAACTATTTTGCTAATATGTCTCTTAGAATGTTGACTATTTCATCTAATGACTTATGAAAGGAAGCCCTTAATTCAGGCCTGACAGAAAAGGGGATGTTCTTCAATCTCTGGCTTATATGTCTAAATCATTGTCCTAAGTCAGTTTATTTATAATTACAAGCTCTGCTAAAGGTATTCTTGAGGTTAAGTCAAATGATGAGAGCAGAAGAAATGTCTGAATCTCCTCAACAAAGATGATCTCTTAAGAAAAGGCTTGGCCACTTGCTATGGTTTTCCTGATGGCTTCTTTGACCTCTTTGTTCCTCAGACAGTAAATAATAGGGTTGAGCATGGGAGTAAAGACTGCATATATGGTTGAGATCAATTTGTTAGAGTTAAATGAAGAAATGGCCCGAGGTCGAACATACATGAAGATCACAGCTGTGTAGAAGATGACCACCACAGTGAGGTGAGATGCACAGGTGGAGAAGGCCTTCTGCCGCCCAGTGGCTGAAGGTATGCGCAGGATGGTGGAGACAATGAAGGTATAGGAAAGGACAGTGGCCGAGAGAGGAAACACAAGGATGACAATGGCTAGTGCAAAGTCTACTGTCTCAGCCATAGAAAAGTCCATACAGGCTAGTTTGAGGATAGGTGACACATCACAGAAAAAATGATTCAAGATATTATTGCCACAGAAGGAAACTTGGGAGATGAAGTATACCTTTGCCATGGAGATGGTGAACCCACACACCCAGGAACTGATGGTCAATTGAACACAAAACCCTGTGGTCATCATGACTGGATAGCGAAGAGGCCAACATATAGCCACATAACGGTCATAAGCCATGGCTGCCAATAGTACGCATTCAGTACAGGCAAGTGCGATGAAGAAATAGAGCTGGATCATGCATCCCAGGAAGGAGATAGTATTGGGGTAAAGTAGGAATCCAGCCAGCATCTTGGGAACTGTGACAGATATATACCAGGTTTCCAGAAAGGACATGGTACCCAAAAAATAGTACATGGGTTTGTGCAGGGACACAGTGGCCCACACAGTGAGGATGATGACCAAATTCTCCAACAGCACAAACAGGTAGGTGAGGAGGAAGAGGAGGAAGAGGAGAGCCTGCAGCCAAGGAGCAGTAGGGAAGCCCACCAAGATGAACTCATTAATACTGGTGATGTTTTCTTTCCACATATTTTGGATCACAAAGAGCAAAGACATTAAAAATAATAACACAAAACTGAAGGGTAATATTCACATTAACAGCAAGGGATACTTATTTTTAAAATAATAACACGAAACTGAAGAGTAATATTCACATTAACAGCAAGGGATACTTAGGCTACAGGTACCTTATTATTGAATATAATCCTAGTATGGCCCAAGGGTATGACTAGAAATTACAAGAAGCCACAGATTCTCAGAAAAATGGGAGTCAGAAGAGGACCTGAGAACAAATCCATCACAGACACAAAGCCAACAATGTCAAGGCAGCATCATGAATTCAGATTCAATTTTAGGTCTTTGGATCTTGGTCAGGAAGAGGTCTCGGTTAGAACTGAGAGTAAATGTTTTCCTTATCAGCACATTCCTAGATTTCATAGGCACCGATAAGGGAGGAGACCAGAGTGGTTGGAATAAATGCCAAGGATGGTCCAGAAGTCAGGGAAGTAAAGCAGATAAGTTCAAAATCTGTAAAAGATAAAAGCAATATATCAACTGGAAAACATCCCCAAGGTCAGAAGAATTTCTGACTCTGGCCTACTCCTCAGCAATGTTGGATGCCTCTGGAAGACTCTGGCAATAGTGGTTAACAATTCTCCACCCATAGGGATCTGGCAGGTGGTATGGTGGCTAAGTGCTCTGGACTCCCACATGACTGATCATGGTTCAAGTCTTGGACCTAGTGGAACTATTTCTCATTCTTCCCCACCCCTCACTCTGTCCCTCTCTAGTCAAATTTAAATAAATAAAGTTGAATAAAACAATTCTTTAAAAAAATAATTCTCCACCCACGTTTAGGGTCATGGCCTTAATATTGACTAGAAAATGTGTGCCCTTTCAGTATAATTAAACACCTTTTGCTTTTTTAGACAGCTCCTATTAACATTGCTAATAATAGTTATATATGTATATAATATGTGCCACACATATATTGGTACACATGTTAATATATCTTATTGTTTAAATTTGTGTGCTTCATCTATGTTCTTTTCAAAGACTGGTTTAAAATGTTTCTACTGCAAGAAATGTCACTTGATTAATTCTACCTACTTCTTATTTCTGAAACACATCTTTATTGTGGGCACTGTTTGGAGACAAGCTGCATTTAAAGCTCACTTGGTGATGCAAGTGGGAGGGTATCACTGAGCAGTGGCTAAGCCCACAGTTCAGTTCCCAGCCCAACCGAAACAGGCAGAGTGCGGCGGCATGTGCTTGGAATCCCAGATAACCAGGAAGCTGGGGCAGAAGGACAGCAATGTGATGAGATCCTGTTTCAATTTCTTTCTCTCTATCCTTTCTCTCCCTCCATGCCCTTTCTCTCTCTCATTGAAAATAAATAAATAAATAAATAAATGCCTTGAGATCACAGAATCAAGGGGTCCAATAACCCAGAGGATTTCAAATTTCCCAGGCAAGATAACTTCCCAGCACAGATAATGTCAAAAAATTTATCAGAAAACAAAATTAAAGTACAAGTTTAGTGCTGTTTGAGTGGCCCAGTGATTAAGGAAGCGAGATCCCACATGGAAGACTGCACAGTATGAATTCCAACCCCAGCAGTTTGAGAAACACCAAGAGTATGTGCATGTCCAAAATCCTGACAGGATAAAGAAATAGAGAAGGGATTGCGGTGTAACCGCGCACCATTGGGGAACGCTTTCTCCCTTCCCCTGTTTCTCTCTCTCTCTTTGGAAAGCTCACGAGCTCTCTGGCAAAAGGTCAAAAGCAAAATGGTACCAGTTTATTTTAGTGCAAAAAATTTTGAAATCTATGCAACTTCTTTATAATATCTATTTTCCATGAACTTTTTGAAGAACGCTTACATGCTATCAGAGGATAAACTTGAACACTTAAGACATTTTCTTTATAAATAGGGATAGAAAGAGAAAAGTAGAGATATAAATCGGCTTGAGATTATAAATAAAATGGAATTAAAAAATAAAGCAACACTTTCTTCAAGAAGACCAGTAGAGATAACCTGCAAAGGGAAAGGCAGAATTCATGGAATTGAACAAAATAATAAGATATGAAACTTCCTAGATGTTAAGTATGTTTCTGACTTATATGCATTTTGTGGCCTAATGCCCCCAGATCAGCAATAGTTGATTATAAGTATTGAAAGATGAATCATAGTGAAATAAAACTCAAATCTGACTTCTTTCTCCAGCACTAAGAATTATCTTTTAATTAATTTTAACAACTCTCTCCAGGAGATCATTTTTGCCCAAGAGATGTAAGGCAGTATGGGAGCACACAGCCTAGATGCTGGCAATTACTGAAGAAGGTAGTGAAGGAATTTTTACATGTGAATTCACACCTGATCATATCTGATCTATCATGAATCATGGGAAACATAAGTGTAGCCTAACAGGAGACTCAATGTAGACAAAAGGAACTCTAATATTTCAAGACTATACTAAAGAATTAAGTAAACTACATACCTGTGGAACAAGTAATTAGAAGGCCTGACTTCTAGTTCATTATTTATTACTTTCTAACTTACAATCTAAAGCAAATCTCAGTTTTCACTTATTAATGAAAAAAAGACTTTATTATAATGCTAAAAAAAATCCAACAATTCATGAATGCAGAAATGTATAGCCTTACTAGAGATTATAATAAAGATCTATTGAACGCTTAGTCCTCATACAGGATATTAAAAATATAAAGATAAGAAAAATCCAAATTCCTCCATTCAAAATCTTGAAAAGGAGATAAGCAAGTAAGCAAGTTGTTATAGTCCAAAGTATTATAGCCACAACAAACTCGCAATCTCCCAAGGATATTGCAGTGTGGCTATCCCACTTAGTAACTCATGGGAGGAAGCTAACACTATCTGAGTCGTGGCCTTCAAAGAAAGCAAGTGGTCTTTCTTTTTATCTGCGCCAGGACAGCTAAGCTATGTTGGGAAAAATCACACAAGAAGAAGGGTGAAACCATCATAACCTTTTTCCCGGGTGCAGAAAGTGAGAGACCCTACTGGGCTGCAGACAACAGCTGGAATTAATTTTATCAAGTATACTATCCTATACCATGGGGACAGGCCTCATTGGTCAGAGTCACGAAGAAAGTAAAGGCATTAGCCATCAGACTCTGATGGAAGAGCTTTCCAGACAAAAAGAAGAGGCAGTTTACAGACCCTAAGGTGAAGCACAGTGTGAGAAACAGCAAGGAGTTCTGTAGGGTTGGAGCAGAGCAAGCAAAAAAGAAATAGCCATAGATGTAAGTGGGAGAGATGATGATGTGCATCAGACTCTCTGATGGAAGAGCTTTCCAGACAAAAAAGAATAGGCAGTTTACAGACCCTAAGGTGAAGCACAGTGTGAGAAACAGCAAGGAGTTCTGTAGGGTTGGAGCAGAGCAAGCAAAAAAGAAATAGCCATAGATGTAAGTGGGAGAGATGATGATGTGCAGATCATCATGTCCTTCTAAGCATCTGGAATCATGCTGGCTTTTACTTTGAGTGTATTGGGATGACTTTGGAAGCTTTTGAACAGCTGAGATGTTTAAGAGCTCATGAAACAACTTAATTCTTTTTTTTGTTTGTTTGTTTTTGGGGGGGTATTTTTTGCTACTGTACTTTTTTATTGGTTTTAAGACCTCTTCATAGTTACTATGGGATTTTCCAGGTGCAGAAATTAATAAATCATTCCCCCACACACAGGGGGATGTCCCCACCACAATCGCTTCTCCTCCATTGTCCTCTCAGGATTTGGGGCACGCAAGCACACATGCCCGGTAAGAGTTTCAAGACACCAAGTCCAGGACTTGAACTGCAGTCGAGTACATGGGACTCCAGCAATGTAACGATTATGCCATCTGCTGGTCCCACTGAGTGAACAGTCTTATTCTCTGCAAAATATTTCTGCTTGATTTTTATATTCCTTTTGTTTTTTGCCTCTTATTTTATTGCATGTCTTTTTTGTTTGTTTGTTTTATTTACATTTTATCACTGTAAATTTTACAGCACACAAGTGCTTTCAGAATTCTTTTGGCAGGTTATTCTTTTCTGAGTTATTTTCTACAGCTTTTCAAGATGATCAGTCAATTATTTCTCTTTCTCTTTCCCAAAATAATCCTCTTGTTCTTTACTGGCTGTGTTTTTTGCATCTGCTTCAGAACACTGCACTGTCTATTAACATCTCTTTCCTTTCCCTTGACTTACCTTCTGCTGCTGCCATGTCTCAGGCAACATTCAGGTCTTTTCTATCTTTAATATGTTAGTTTTCTACTCCCTGAACCCTCCTCTCACCCTGCCCCTTTGACCTTCAAATCTACCACGGGATAAGTAGTTTCAAGCATGGAAAACACCAGGACAGAAAGACATAGGTGCTGTTTTTCAAAGGGGAAATGCAGTACAGTAAATGTGACAATAGTGTACTGAGTACAGTGGGGATCCAAGACAGAGACTAAGTATTTCTGTTTGGGGATCCCAAAAAGCCTTGACCAAGGAAGTACCACTTAGACTGAATGAAGCATTTTGGAACTCTTGGTAAAAAGAAAAAATAAATAAATAAAGCCTGTTACCAGAGAATCAGGAGATCTGACTCAGGAGGGTCTGTGCTTCCCAGGGTACAGTACAGAGGACTTCAAAAAATTCTGCTGTGCTTTTTTCTGTCTAAAGGTACTGGTATGAGAGGTAAATACCAAGAAGAGAAAAAAAAATGTACAAAAACACAGAGTAAAGAGATCAAAAGTTAATGAAGAAATCATTTTGGGAGCCAGTCAGTGGCATGGTGGTTGGAGCACCTGGATCCCACATGGCTGACATGTAGGTTTGAGTCTTGGACCCAGTAGCTTGAGAGACACAGTGGGCACATGTATGTGTGTGCCCTGAATCCAACCCAAGGAGACTGCAATGTGGCCATCCCCACAGGGTGCTTTCTCACTTTGTCTCTCTTTCTCTCCTTTTCCCCTCAGCAAGTGACCCTGCCCTCTAGCAAACTTTTTAAAATAATAAGTCATTTTTA